TTATATATATGCATTCACACATACATGTGTGTTTATGTGTATAATATATATTTTAAACATGTAGCATAATTTATGTAGCATAGCAATAATAAAAAAAAAAATTGGCTCAAAAAAAAATTTCGTAAACAAATATATATCTTATGACAATAAAAAAACACGACGACAACGGCGGCCCAACTTGTGTATGTATGTCCATGTGTGTGTGTGTGTGTGTGTTGGGACTGTAGCTACTCTACATGCAACCACCACCCACTTGCCGCTGCTGTCGCTCCTGCTTCCGCCTGCTCCTCTGCTCCAACCGTTCGTTCACTGTGGCTTCTGGTTCTTTGGTGCTTACTGCTGCTGCTGCTGTTGCTGTTGCTGTTGTTGCTGCTGCTGCTGCGTCTCGTAGCGCTGACGCAGCGCTGTCAGCGCACTCAGCAGCCGACTGTTGGCGGCATCGAGAGCCGCGATCTGCTGCCCCTGCTCCTCGATGACGCGCTGCTTGTGCGACAGGGCGAGCGACATCTTCAGCTGCTCGCGCCGCAGCTCCTCCTCCATGGTGATGAGCCTGCAAAGAGTTTGCCTAATATTAGTTGGCCGGCTGGTGCGAGCGAGCTGCTAATCACACTCACCTGTCGATGATGCTGCGCATGGTGGACTCCGACTGCAGGCTCAGGTTGCTGACGCCGTTGCCTCCGCTGCCGCCCCCTCCTCCGCCTGGCCGCTGCAGGGCGAACAGCTCATCGTTGGAGTCGCGCAGCTCCGCCTCGTCGCGGTCCAGCGTGTGACGCAGCGTATCCAGCGTCTCCTGCAGCTGCTGAATCTGGCCGTTCTGATCGTAGCCCCGGCTCAAGCCCGAGGAGTCCGACACCGAGACCGAGACTCCAGGGCCGCCGCTGAGCCCGCTGTTGGCGTTGCTGCGCAGCTGGCGACGTCGCTTCCCCTCCTGCAGCTGTGCGCAGTGACCTGTGAAAGCAAGCAGACGCAATTCTTGTTGAAACATGTTCATGGCAAATCTACCAGGCACTCTACAATCAGCTCTCTTCTATACAATCTGCATCGCGCAAACTGTCTCTCACTCTAACTGTGCTCTACTCTTGCTCTACTCCTGCCTTCTGATTGCTTCTCAACTCACCCTCCGTATCGGTGCTGCTGTCGGAGAGCGTTCGCGCCGAGTCGAGGCTGAGCCGTCGCTGGGCGACCGCCGTAGAGGATGTCGCCGTGCTGCTGGCCCCGCCGCCGCTGCTGGCGTATTGCTTGTGATCCTGCTGCAGCTGCTGTTGCTGTTGATGTTGCGTCTGCTGCTGCTGATGTTGCTGGTGGGGATGGTGATGGTAATGCTGCTGCAACTGTTGCTGCTGTTGCTGCTGCTGGTGCGTGGACATGGCATAGGCCACRGCCAAGCCAGTGGCGCTGTCGTAGACGTCCTCGCGCTTGAGCGGCCCATTGAGACGGCCGTAGGCGTGGGTCGGCTTGCTCGAGTTCGAGTTCGAGTTCGAGTTGGAGTTGGAGGAGCTGCTGCCGCCGCTGAGCGAGCGCTGCGCCTCCAATTTGCTGACCACATTGGCGCCGGCAGCCGCTGCCGCCGCATAGCTGTAGTGATTGTCCGTGGACAGCTGCTCGTCCGAGGAGCTGGGCGTCAAGGTGGCCGCATCCAAGGTGCCGCCGCTGTTCAAGAAGGCGGCCCGTGCCGCCACCAGTCCAGCGCCCATCAGCTTCACACGGCCGCCAAAGGACGTCGTCGTCTGCTGCTGCTGCTGCTGCTGCGGCGTGGGCGGGCCGCGTGTTGAGGCGGTGGGCGCGGTGCTCTGCAGCTGGTACGAGGGATTCTTGAAGGCCAGCGGAGCGCCCAGCTTATGCGACGACTGTTGCTGTGGCTGCTGCGGCTGCAGCTGGCTCTCGACTGGACTGGAGGACTGTGCGGGGGAGGGATTCGTGGAGATGCTCTGGTAGCCGGAGCTGCAGTGGCTGCTCTTCGCCGAGAGCTGCTGCTTGTTGTGGGCGTGGCCATGGCCATGGGCGTGACTGCCGCTGGGCTGCGGATCCACAATCACATCCTGCTCCTCGGCGTACTTGATCAGATCGTCCAGATCCTCCAGATTCTTGGGCATATACGAGTTGGGATTGAACGGCGCACGCGGGTCGGGTATGCCCAGGTACAGGTTCAGATTGTGACGATTGGCGCGCGTGCCGCGCGGCGCCGCTGCGGCGCCCGCCTTCAGCAGCGGCGTGGGCGACTTGCGCACGAAGGCGCTGCTCGTGTCCAGGCCAGAGATCTGGATGAACTCGCCGTGCATATCATCATAGCTGCCGCTCTGATTGCTATTGCTGCCGTTGCCGTTGCCACTGCCAGTGCCTCCGCCATTTCCATTGCCATTGCCGTTGGCATTGCCGTTATTGTTGTTGTTGTTGCGGGGCAAGGTACGCGCCCGGGAGCTGCCACCCGTGGAGCTATCGTAGTCTCCATTGCCGCTGGCGTTGCCATTGTGATTGACCACATACTGATAGGTCTGGCCCAGCCGCTCCATGCGCTCCAAGCGCTCCATGGTGCTGGCAGCGCTCGTCTGCGGAGCCGGCGGGCAGTGCTGGTTGAGATGCTGGGCGGGATGCTGCTGGTGCTGGTGCTGATGCAGCAGATTGCTGCTGCTGCCATTCAGCGAGGAGGACGCCATCGAGCTCTGCGACTGGGCGTGCTGCAGCACCGGACTGTTCATGTAGCCGGAGCCACCACCTGCCCCTCCTCCTCCTCCTCCTGCTTGGCCCGCAATGCAGCTCTGCGAGTTGGATAGCAGCTGATGCGAGTGCTGCTGCTCCAGTTGCTGCTGCTGCTGCTGCTGTTGCTGCTGCTGCTGCAGACGCACATTCACCGTGGGATCATTGTAGCGGAATATGTTCTTCTCCAGTGCGCTGGGCGTCAGCACGCCTCGCATGATCCCACGCTCTGCGGGCAGTGGCTTACTGACCACCGCATGCTGCGGCTGGGCCAACTGCTGCTGCTGCTGATGTTGCTGCTGCTGTTGTTGCTGTTGTTGGTGCTGCAGCGAGCTGCTCGAGCTGCTGGGCACCATGCCAGAGCCAGCAGTGGCATCCGGCTGGCGATTTTCCTGGTTCTCACTGGCAATGCTGTGCGTGGACATGACCGTGGGCAGATAGCCGGAGGCCAGGGCATGGCCCGCGGACAACTCCTTGGCACGGCTGATGTCGTCCAGTATGTGCTGCAGGGGATCGAGCTCGTGCTGGCGCGCCTCCGGCAGCTTGGCCAGACTCTCGCTGAGCAGGCTGTGCAGGATGGAGAGCTGCTTGCCCTGGTCGATGTAGCCCGCCCAGTCCAGTATGGAGTCGGGCGTGGCGTGGTCGGGCCGCGTCGAGATGTACTCCAAGAACTGCTGCATGCGCCCCGCCTCCTGCTCGAGAAAGTCGTTGAGGAACTCCATGAAGTTCTCCTTGCCCTGGAAGCGCGTGAAGTTCGCCAGCGTCTGCAGCGTCTTGGCCACCAGCGTCAAGTTGCGAGTGGCGCGCGCCGACGGCAGCTCGCTGGTGATGTTGAACAGCGACGGCGAGAGGATCGCCGGGCAGAGGAAGCGCAGGAATATGCTGGCCGAGATCAGATTGTCAGCCATGTCCTGGCGGCCCAGCTGCTGCAGGCGCTCCCGGAACGTCGCGAAGCAGGCGCGCAGCTGGGGCGGAAAATGCTTGTGCGACTCGTAAATGCATTGCCAGGCACTGCGCACAGCGGTGCGCAGCGCCGCCTGCTGCCGCTGCAGCGAGCCGGACGAGGAGCCGCTCGTCTTGGTGGGGTCCACCTCGCAGTCGCGGTCGGACTGGATGAGCTCGTTGATGGGCGCCGACAGCGTGTCCTGCAGGTACTGCTCGCCCGTCAGCTTCAGAAACGCCTCCATGCTCTTGGTGGCCAGCGAGTTGCCGCGGAAGGTCAGCCGCTGGTCGCCCACGCGCAGCAGGTCGAGGGCCACGACGTCGGTGAGGAAGGCGCCGGCCAGGCCCTGCGCGTGCATCAGCAGGACGAGCGCCTGCCCAATGTCCTCCTTGGCCTTGACCCCGATCACCGGCTCGAGCGTCTCGCAGACGCGCTTGTAGTTCTCCTTGAGGTAGGCCAGGAAATTGCCATAGACATTGATGGGCAGGATGTCGGTGCTCTGGAAGCGGCACTTGATGCGCAGCGTCGGCTGCAGCTCCCGCTCCTTGTCCTTGCCCAAGCCGCCGCGGCCGAGGCTGTCGCCGGCCTTGTCGCTCAGTATGGGATACCAGTCCTCGCAGTAGGGCCGCGAGGTCACCTCGTGCACGGGTATCTTCACCGAGCCCACGAACTGGTACTTGTCGCGCTTCTTCTTCTTGTCGACCTCGCGGAACACATTCACCGTGATCACGTTGATCTCGGGTATGTCGGGGAAGTCAAAGTACTCGCCCCAGAACAGCAGATCCGTCTGCAGCTTGACGCTCGTCCGGCCGTACAGCGTCTTGTCCAGCTGCAGCTCGCAGAAGTATTTCTTCTTCGCCGGCAAATTCTTTGCCTCGTACACCCACAGCTTCAGCGAGTTGTCCATGCGGCGTGTGTGCTCCGCATTCGGGGCGATCGACTTGCGCAGCGAGTAGATCCACAGGTCTCGCTCCTGCCGCGACCCACACGAGTAGTAGCGCTCGCCGCGCGGACCGCCGCGCACCTGGAAGCAGTGCCGGCGCCCCAGCACCGACTGATGCACGGGCGCTACGCCCACAGCGCCGCTGCATGACAAATCTGTAGCGAGAGGAGCAAAGTAACGAGTGAGCTGGGCGTCTAACAAGCCAACAAAATATTATATTCGGCGAGTAGCTAAGTGGGTGTGGCGCGAATTCAATGAGATATGAGTAAGTCTTAAGAGTAGCGAGTAGACTCAATCAATGAGCAAGTAGAAATGAGAAGCATATCTGGGAAAAGGATTTTCGATTAACGAGTTACCTCCAAGGGTAACGAGTAGTTGCAATGAATGAAGAAATGTAACGAGTAACGAGTAAGTCGGGCAATTAACGAACAAGTTGAAATAACACAAGCTAACGAGTAGCGAGTGAACTGCAACTGAAATGAAGAATCGATTTCCCAAGTATCGAATGAGTTGAAATTGACTTGCAAATTGAGGAGAAACTTTACAAGTAACGAGTAGGTTTCTTTGAGTCGCAAATTAGTTTAGAGTGTAACGTAGTAACTAGAATTCATTAAGCTAGCTTGCTAGTCGACTGACTTTTTTTACACAACGAGTAAATCTTCGGAGCGAGTAAAAGTAATCGAATCAAAAAGTGCTCAAAATTCAATTAACATACAAATAAATTCATATGCAGATCTCGTTTCTTTTCGACTAGGTAAGCAGATCTAATCGATAGATTTATCGAGCTCGATTATCGAGCGACAAGTGTGACTTTATGAAATCAAAATTAAGAGCTCTCATTAATCGCGACTCAGAATGCAGCTCACGCCAAATAGCTAATGCTGATGGACCACTTACCAATGGTGGACATGACGGCATGACTCGAGAGCAGGCTCTCGTGGGAGCGCGAGCCACGCAGACCACCCGATCCGCGCTTGGTGCGCTCCAATTTGGTGACAGACTTTGTACGCTTGAGAGGATTCGATCTGTGAATGGGCAGAGAGCAGCGACATTAGTAACTCATGATTAGCTCAACGACAGCACACCTACCTCTTCGAGAAGAAATTGGTAAAGCGCGAGGTGGCATTATGCTCCGTCTGATGCTGTTTGTTGCCCAGAATGGGGGTTGTGGGCGCCGAGCCGCGTCGACAGGCCTTCTCATATGAAGTATCTAGAAGTGGATAAAGAGGATAGAAGAGTTTCGATTAGTTTCAGGAATTCAATACATATAATCAATTAAATGCAAATCAAAGTCGATTACCCGAACTGATATCGCCCAGTTAAGCTAAACGATAGATATCGGTTAACGATAGATATTATTTCGAAACTGAAAGCTGATAACAAAGTTGAGTAAACCAAAACTTGAATATTCGATAATCGATATATATCGATATATGTACATATGTATCATTTATCTGAAGATACGATTTATTACGATTTATTACACTTTGATCAGAGTTCCATCCAGTATCCCCAGTCATTTATCGATCAAAGGTTATCGATAGTTAAATGATATACAGAAATTGGCACTTCAATGAATATATTACAATTTAATGCAACTTGAATTCAGCTATTGTATTTCTGTTGTGCATTGTTTAATAATTTATAAGGTTTTCTGTGTGTTTAGGTTCTAATAATTCCCGATTAAATCATTGGTATTTCAAATATTATATAAAGATACAAAACTTGTTCGTAAACCAGTCTCTTGAGTCGTGCATATCTTTTTGCTGGCGTATGTCGAGATGACGTTCCTATTGTTGTTTCGTTTTTGCAGTTTGAAGTTTTCGAAAAAGATCCGTTAGTCGGGCATTAGGGGTATTACGGGTATTTGGGATATTTATCCTAATCCATGGCATTGTCTGCAGGAATTTCGTTTGTGGTTTTATTTTTATCATTTTTTGTCTTTTTTGTTGTTGTTGCTATATTTCTTTCTTTCAATTGAGCAGAGACAAAGGAGAGGCAGACAACGGAGTGTAGAACGAACCCGCACAACGTGCAACCGGTTTAGCTTGGATGCCACACACTCCACACACACACAGACAGTCAGACACGCAAGGCTGAGGAAAAGGTGGCCCAAGTGGCAGCTGCTGCACATCACCTGCCCCGGTCGGACGCTGCTGCTGCCACGCCCACAGCAAGAGGCTGCAGGTACTGAATGCCCAATGATTCATGATTCATCAAACTGCCCCGAAATAAAAAATAAAAAAAAACACCAAACAAAAAGGTAAACGAGGCTGCTGCAAAACTGGTTTCCGTTGATCTTCTTTTGCTTATTATTATTTTGCTTCTTATTCGTCTCGTTCTGGTCCAGCTTCTTCTTGCTCTTCTTCTTCTTCTTCTGCTGCTGCTGCTCTGCGTATCCGCCCTCACAAAAGAACCTCTAGAGTCGTGAACACATGGAAACGACCTTGTCAGCCCACCCAGCTCGCCACGCTTTGGGCCCTTTTTCTTTTCTCATTCTTAAAATCATTTTTTTGTTCATTTCCATTTCTGTTTTGTTTTGTTTTTGTTTTTGTTTGTGACTCATCAAGCCAAAACAAACATAATAATTTTTGTGCTCTGACCCCGCTCTACAGCGCCTCTACCTCTCTCTCTCACACTCTCTTTCTCTCTCTCCACCTCACTCTCTTTCTCGTAGCTCCTTCATCATCTGTGATTTATTCATATTTGATGAGCTTCGCCTTTTGGGGGCAACTCTTCCGCAACGTTGATTCATTTCCAGTTGCCCAGAGATGCAAACACTGCGATTTGTCATCAAATGAAAAGAACCCCTAAGCAACCACAGCTGGCATTACAGCCCGACTACCACATACCCTGTATCATTAAGCCGTTTAGTTTATGTCTCAACGATCTATCTAAGTATCTAGCTGAAAAAGAACCATCTATAGAGTTCATATACCTCTTGTCTCTGAGTTTTAAGCCAACTAACTCTATGATCTATTGCTGACTATTTTGACATATACAAAATACATAAAATGCCAAGACATATAGCCTCTATTCGTCACTGAGTTATCAATCGAGTGACACTTATCTAGCTCTAACGCCTCTTTATATATCATCTTATCATAATATATCATATATCTTTATCATATCTTCAAAAGAATCTCGAATCTCATATCCTAACTAGCCGCTCTGTAACTGCTCTAGGGTATCACTTTTACAGCTTTGAAATTGTGTCATATTTAGTCGGCTGTTGTTGTTGTTGTTGTTGTTGTTGTTGTTGTTGTTGTTCTCGTCTTCATTTATTTAGAAGAGAATTTCTATACAAGATCCGAACCCGTTGAAACATTCTCCACTCTTGGCCGGCCCCGAATAGGCGCTGCCCAGAAACGGCCGCACAAAGAAGAGGAAGCACAAAGCAAGAAGATATAGCCCCAGTTACAAAAATGGTGCAGATTATGATTATGATTTGAATAACGCACCCAACGCCCACATGCTCACGCCCACTGAACAAAAACACGACCCAATGGCCAATGCCCATGTAAAGCGACGTCGGCGCACCCAACAAAAGCGCACAAATGGTTATGTTTACAAGCGG